TCAATTTAATGTCCACTATTTCTGGCAGTCTGCTTAGGCCCTATATTAAGGAGGTCATGGGTATTAATGGGTTGAAGGAATTAAGCAGAGCAGTGGAGGACAGAGGGTCTTGGAGATGTTGCATCCATGGGACCGTCATGAGTCAAGATCTACTCGAGGGCAGTTAACAACAAAACTCATATATATATATATATATATATATATATATATATATATATTTCTGTGTTGAATCCAAATATCAACCATTTCTCTCTTTGGTTGTGTATTCCTGCATGGCAGAATGGGGTTGGACTGGATGACCCTTGGGGGTCTCTTCCAACTCTAGGATTTTATGCTTATTTGGCATATATATATATATATATATATATATTGCAAGAGGCAGATTATTTGTGTGTTTGCTGACTTTCTTTACAACGCAGAATTTAAAAGGCCTGCAGGCACAATGCACAGAAGAACAGCAAGGCACCAGTAGGCCTGGTGAGGATGTGAACCAAAGAGTGTACTCCAGGATGTGCCTCAGGATCCTTTGCAATGTGTTAACAGTTTCTTTCCTAACATGGGGCAGGGTTTCCCTATGAACAGAGCGTCCAGTTCCTCAGTTCTGGCATGGGCAAGGTAAGGCTCTGAATGGACAGAGCCTCAGAATGAAAGTGCTTCCAGTGGAAATCTCATTTTTACTTGACGTCTGGTCAAACTGTGGAAAGGACTACATTTCCCAGCATGCTCTCCGCTGAGAGAGAGAGAGAGAGAGAGGGGGGTGAGGAAGAGCAGGAGCGTGGGCACGTGATCTCATCGCTCCCCGCCCCTCCCACTTGGAGAGGCTGCTGCTGTTGTAACGGTTTGGGGGCGGGGCCGGGCTGGAGAAGACGTTGTTGTGACGACGTGGAAAAAACATTGGAGCGGCTGAGGGATTGAGCGAGAGCGAGCGAGAGCGCATGCGCGCGGGGAGGGGGCACCCCTGAGGAGGGACGGCGGTAGGGGCGCGCGCACGTACGTAGGCAGGCCCGGGAGCGCGCCTGGCTCTTCAGTCAGTCGAGTTGGGCGCGAGAGGGGACGGCGTGTGCCCCCGTTTTTCCCTTCCCCCTGGGAGCCAGAACCCGGTGAGTTAACGCCCCACTTCCCTTTCTCTCCCCCCC